GAGTGCACAATTTGGAAAAATTATTTCTTTTTTGCCGGTGAGTGTAGATATGTATGCCCAGCATAAGGATGAATCTCAGTAACCATAAGAGTTACACAATATGGGACAAATGGGCGAAAAGTTGCGCAATTAAGAGATCCATAAATTCTCAGATGTTGAGTAATCCCAAAAATGTTGTCTTCTCCCGGAGATATTTGGAAAAACCGCCGAAGTGCTCCGTTTTGAGATACAGGATTATTTTCCAATTCTGTTTGAAGTCTTCAAGAAGGTGCTTCTTACCACATTTTGGAATCTTTGAACGTGATTTTGACCCACTTCAAAACGTCGAATAGAATTCAAAATTCGTACACTCATCAAGGAACCATGACAAAAACATAATTTAATAGTTTTGTTCCATCATCCTGATCAGGATCTTCAGGATGAGCGATGGATTGTTTCTCGAATGAAATGGTGGATGGAGTTCAACCACCAAAATTTCAAATGGACCGTCGCCAAAAATTCAAATATGTACCTTTTCATTCTTTTGAATAGCTTTTTATAACTCGAGACACTTGATCTTGCACCAAGTACCTCAAACTTCGTCAGCGGCTCTTACTATCAAAAATAGAAAGAAAACTTCAATGAACATAAGTCGAGAAATGACTCCTAAGGGAGCTACGGCCCCCTGAGAGGGGGCTTCTGAAGATGATATTGCTCAAGTATTTCCGAAACTTCATGTAATAAAAATATGCAATTTGGTAAAAGAACTAAAATATCCATGCCGAATGCAGTGAAAATGAAATAAATCCAGAAGTTCAATCAGGAGTGTATAATACAGTGTGGGACTACATTAAATTAATTAATAATTATTAGGAGTGTAAGTCTTCGTGTAAACAAAATTTCCCTAGGTATGTGTAATATTTCTACACTTTCCTTTTTTTGTGACAAGCTGGACAAAATGTGAATATGTGTTAGTGGTAGACCATTTACACTTTAATCTAGTAATGAAGTTGATTTGATTTGATTAAATATTGCTCAAAACTTTTGTATGCATATTTTTCGACAATTTAATCTTGGATTTGGAAATTTCACACTTCTTCACAGAAAAAAGGTACTCCTGTTCCGTGACGATCAGATGTATTATTATCGAGTAAAAGCAATTTGAAAATATTGCTACATCTCAGATATTATGCTTAACATTGCAATGAGGCGTAGTGAAAATGGAAAAAAATGCACAAAAATTGAAGTAGTATTGTTTCATCATCATTTTTCTATTTTTCGCTCTTTCATGAGATTGTTTGGTAAATACAAGAGTACTTGATTTCTTTTCATCTCAAAAAGAACAACGGATATTGATCATACCCCAATATGTTTCAATAACAAATCCATTGAATATGCAAATGTAACAAATGTAACATTTCACGTTTGAAGCCACTCATGAAATACCAAAATAAAACAATGAGGTGCATTTTCATTTTACCTTTTTTAGAATCAACTGTGAATCTATACAAACCTAAAGACTTGCTGAATCTAGTTTTATTATATAAACTCAAAATTTGTTGTTTTATTCATTTTGTCAGGAAGGAATTGAAAATATCGAATTTCGAATTTTAATGAAGTTAATACAATTCACGCCCATGAAACAAGGCAATTTAATTCATTGATATCAAATAATTATAGGTGAAATTTTCAATATTTCATAATGGAATAATTTAATATAACTCCTTACCTAATGAGTTGAAAAATATAGAATAAGCAGAAAAATTTAAAATCAAATTAAAGAAATATCTGCTCAGTGAACTTCAATTCCATATTTTCTAATAGTACTAATCATTCACAATTTGAATACTTGTAATGGATTATAATATTTTCATTTTATATTTCATTCAAATTTTTTTGTTAAGAAAATAATAATTGTGCAATCATTATTGTTTTTGTTTATAATGTTATATGTATGTTTCAGTATATATCCCTATTATAAACGATAATGTTTTTTGGGGTAATAAAGACAATCAATCAAAATTGGCAACGTTATGCATAAGGTGTGAGTGCAACAATATTTTTAAATCGATTTCACTCTAAGATGATACATCTGATCGATGCGGAACAAAAGCACATTTTTTTGTGAAACTGTGTGGATGTTCATAATCCGAGATTAAATTGTCGAAAAATATGCATACAAAAAAGTTTGAGCAACATTTAATGTAGTCCTACCCTGTATTTTACACTCCTGCATGAAACTTTGAAATTAATTTATGTTCACCGCATTGGGCATGAAAAGTTCAGTTCTTGTACCAAATTGCATCATTTCATCACGTAGCGTTTCGGAAATATTCAAGAAATATAATCTTCAGGGGGGGCTCCTTTCAGGAAACCGTAGCTTCCTTAGGAGACATTTCTCAACTCATGTTCATCGAAACTTTTCTTTCTATTTTTGGTCGAAGAAACCACTGGTGAAGTTTGGCAGGTTAATTTCGGGACACCCTGTATATCCAGAGAGACGGGTGATTTATTTGAATCACTTCAGAACGTCGAATAGAATTGAAACTTCGGATACTTATCAAGGACCGATGACAATAGCATAATTTTTGATAGTTTTGTTCCATTATCCTGATCAGTATCATCAGGATGAGCGATTGATTGTTTCTTGAATAAAATGGTGGATGGAGTTCATCCACCAAAATTTCAAATGCTCCGTCGCCAAAAATTCAAATACACCTTTTCAGTCCTTCGAATAGCTTTCTGCACACTTTGTAGTTAGCCGAACTAAAAAATACATAGTTTTTTGAAGCCTCAAAAAGAGAATTTCATGGAAAATCAAACTGAGAAAAAGTGAAATATAATATAATGATAGTATGTGTTGGTAAATACACAACATAGAAAATATGAAAACCTCCAAAATCAGTATTTTCTAAGCTTTGTAATTATCAATACACTTTTATTGTTTGGTTTTCAACTTCTTCTTAGTTTGGCCAATGACGGCTAAATAGTAAATATCAAGTAAGCTGCCGACTTGATATTCAGCCGTCATTGGTTTGGCTATCTAAAAAAGCGTTTTTTTATGTCTTTAAATTTTTTTTGGAAATTATCTCATCTTTATAGTCGACTGAATTGGTGTTTTGTTGTTTCCTTCATCAAAGAGAAGTCTGAATTTGAAGATAACAGCCTGAATTCAGAGAAAAAGTTGAATGGATTGAACAGTGACCTTTCGACGCTTCCATACAAATGACATTGTTTATCGATGCTATCAAGCCGTAGGCGAGTCGTTTTGTAAACATTTCATGACCGAAATTAAAGCAATAACATGCTGGAGTATGATTTCACCTGACGATTATTTCCAGGAAAAGTGTAGTATCATGAATGATATTCGTATATGACCATTTCATCAGTAAATGAAGGTTTCTTGGTCAGATGTGAGTGGGTGGGTCAATAGAGCTGCAGATTCTGATTGGTTTGCTATTGCCTCTTCAAAATGGAAAAAACCGAAGCTAGCCCTTCTACACATTGTTATACAGGGTGTTACAAATTCTTTTCTCACCTACTTTTTCATCACCGAATAATAGTGCCAGCAGTATGTCATCGATAAAATCAATGGGCCATTGTATCGCCAGCTATGTCGTGTTTGCTGGGTTATTTGGAAACCATAAAAGATATGAAATAGGTTGAATTTGAGAAAAGTTGCGCATATTCAAGCCCTCACCTCCCGTCTTCTATAGCTGAGTTATCGAGTCAGGATTTTGATATTTTGCATACCCCAATTGTCCCATAGGGCGTTTACCAGAAAATTTACGATCACACAGGGTGCCCCAAAAAAGTGTGATGTCATAATGATAAATTCTTTTAAATGGCATGCCATAATTATTATATTTTATTGCACACCTCAATGCTTCCAGTGATTACCTACAAACATACTCCTGGAATTTAATTGAATTAGTTTTCTATTCATTCAAATGACTATGAGAATAGTTGATGAAACGAGTTTTCGGCAAGAAACTTTCAATACGATGAGAATTTTGATGGGGTTGTAAAAAGAAAAAACGTCTGTTTCTTATCCACGCATCGAATAACATGAAAATATGCAAGGGCTCCAATTTGAAGTAAGAAAAATAATATAGTGCGCTTTGAAATTTGAAAAGTTTGCCACTGAATTTTGCACACCCTGTGATGATTTTCGATAATCAAACTCGGTTAGCGATCCTCTAAGGCTCTCTTATCGGTTATTAATGCTTTTCGACCAGTGGTGCAAAATATATTTTTTTTAATATTTTGCTTGACGTGAATATCACTGAACCGATTTCAATTAAATTCCAGAAGTATGTAGGTGACCACTAGAAGCACTCAAATGTGCAACAAAATATATGGCATGCCATTTTAAAATTGATATCATCATGACGTCACACTTTTTTGGGACACCCTGAATAATCGAAATTATTCTCCTGGTATGCACCCTATGATACAATTGAAGTCCGCAAAATATCGAAATCCTGACTCAACTGATAACTGAGCTATAGAAGACGGGAGGTGAGATGCAGGACCCTGTATATCATTTAGAAAGTTTCAAATATCCGAGTAGTTCCGGAGATATGCCTAAAAACCGAATTTTGCCGATTTCGTTTCAATTTTTTCCTGACGTTATTCGAAGAGATAAAGGAAAACAAAAAGACACTTTCTCATTGCCACGTTTTGAGCTCTACAAAACAGCGTTGAGAGAATTTCTATACGACGTTTCGTTCCCAAGAAACCATCGACCTATATATATATACCTATTGCTAACAATAACTTCCGTGTATACTATAACAAGTGGAAATGCGTCGATTGAATCACGAGGAAACAATTCCTGAACAAAAAATCCGTTCGTGCACTTTCCCGCTTTTTCCACCTGCATAGCATGCCACCGGTCGGTTATACCACTCTACAAAGGTACGAATAGTTCATGGAAACCCCGTTGCGACGACACCGAGGCGCTGCCAGCTGTGGTCGATTTTCCTCTAGACCCACATTTTCCCACAGAACAGAACCGTGTTTACTCCGTCAGTTGTGTGACACACATTGGGCAATCGATTGCCCGATCGGGAGCGTACACGATTCCAGGACACGACCAACGAAAATCAACTCTTTCACAAGATGCCACTCAAGCGATAGCACCGGCAATAGCATTAGAATTAGTCGCTCACAAGCAATATGTACGGCAACCGAAGTGTGATATCAGTTCGCGAGAGCTATAGCAATATGTTTCCTTTGCGTTTGATTTTTCGATTTGCATGTGATAACCTCGATATGTGATATGATGATATACTCTAAAGACAATGTTGATCCGCATACAAAGTAATGTGATTTGATGGACAGTGTACAAAAAGCGACAACATGCCAGGGGGAAGGAGAGGTCTTGTCGCTCCGCAAAACACTTTTCTGGAGAATATTATAAGGAGATCGAACTCTCAACGTGAGTACCGATACCTACTAGAATATTCATTGCGAGTATTGAAGCGATAATTTCCATTATAGTGAATTCACTGAAGGAATTTAATATAACGTAGTCAATTTGCCAAGGAGCTAAAAAACTCACTGGCAATATCTGGTCACTTTCCAATATTTTATAAAGTTTCCATAAACCGTACACTCCTCAGAAGTTTTTATTTTCAATGTTTACGAGAGACTGGTTCAACCGCTGGTGAGTGTTGTTTGATCCTTTTTCTGAGAAGCTCCAACAAATTAGTGTAAATGTTCACAGCAAGAAAACTGTTCTAGAATTCAACAAATACTCAGCACAAATATGAATAATCGACATAAAAGAATAGGAAGCAATAAGAAACTGGTTGTTGTCATCTCATCTTGTGAAAAACAGCCAACAAAAATCAACTCTTTCAGAAGATGCTACTCAAGCGATAGCACCGGTGATAGTATCAGTATAATATTAGTCTCTCACAAGGTATATGTATGGCAACCGAAGTGTGATATCAGTTAGCGAGAGCTATAGCAATATGTTTCCTTTCCGTTTGATTTTTCGATTTGCATGTGATAACCCCGATATGTGATATGATGATATACTCTGAAGACAATGTTGATCCGCATACAAAGTAATGTGATTTGATGGACAGTGTACAAGAAGCGACAATATGCCAGGGGGAAGGAGAGGTCATGTCGCTCCGCAAAACACTTTTCTGGAGAATATTATTAGGAGATCGAACTCTCAACGTGAGTACCGATACCTACTAGAATATTCATTGCGAGTATTAAAGCGATAATTTCCATTATGGTAAATTCACTGTAGGTATTCAATATGAGGTAGTCAATTTGGCAAGGAGCTAAAAAACTAAACTCTAAAAGTGGCAATATCCGGTCACTTCCAAATATTTTAAAAAATTTCCATTAACCGTAAATTTTTCTGAAGTTTTTATTTTCAATGATTACGGGAGGCTGGTTCAACCGCTGGTGAGTGTTGTTTGATCCTTTCTCTGAAAAACTTCAAAAAATTAGTGTGAATGTTTACAGTAAGAGTATTGTTCTCAAATTCAACAAATATTCAGTACAAATATGAATAATCGACATAAGAGAATGAAAATCGATGAGAAACGACTGGTTGTTGTCATCTCATCTTGTGAAAAACGACCAACGTATATCACCTCTTTCGGAAGATGCTACTCAAGCGATAGCATCGGTGATAGTATCAGTATATTAGTCGCTCACAAGATATATGTACGGCAACCGAAGTGTAATATCGATCAGTTCGCGAGAACTACAGCAATATTTTGTTTTTCGCTTGGAGCGCACGAAAGGAAATCCCTATGATGTTCAAAGAACATCGTGTGTTCCTAGGAAGGAAAGAGACAGGAGGTAGGTATTGGAATTTTTTGAACTTCTGGAGATTATATGTTGTTTGGAATACTTCCTCAGGCAATGAGCCTAGCCGTTCTATGGATGAAGGAGTATTGATAAAGTGCTGTTCGACATCTTTCGACGTTGACAACAGAAGGATGTGCTGACTGGGCTTGTCTGGTTCGTCTGACTGGTATTGCTAGTGAAGGGATGATAGCAGAGATTTCCGAAGAACATTTCCCGTGGAAGTATCGATAAAAAAGTGAAAGGTCGCCGACCTTTCTACGGTGTTCCAATGATGTCAAAGAGTGAGTGAGTGTGGCGTCACCCTCCAGGCGGATGACTCTTCTCTGGATGGAATCTAAGAGCATCAGCGTATGTTTTGGTGCTAAACCCCATGTGGGAACAGTATTCTAGAACAGGCCGTATCTGCGCTTTGTAGATCATGAGAAGCTGTTGAGGTGTAAAGTAGCTTTTCGCACGGAACAAGGATACGAGTTTTTGTGAAGCAGCTTTTGCGATGGATCTGACATGATTATCCCATGAAAGAGTGTTGCTGATGGAAATACCGAGCATAGATATGGTGGGCTTGGTGTGGAGATGATGGTGCCAGACATTACAATGTCGGGCATACTGAGTTCCGCCTTTCTAGAGAAAATACAGGCCTGAGTTTTGGTATGATGGTAATGATACTCCTTTTTTTATTTTGTAAAAATGAGGGAAGAAAATCCCAAATAATCAAGTGAAATGAAAATAGATACAAACAAAACGAACAGTCTCATAACACAATATAATCAGATTCCTAATTATCGAGTCAAAAATACTCACGAATATCTCAAAATACAGTTACATAGGGACTTGTGTCTATAAAAAACAGGAACGAATAGTGAAACTGAACAACAAAAATACGAAACAAATTAAAAAATTAAACGTAACAAACAAACTGTCATAACAGAAGTATATAAAGAATTGAATTTGATCTGAATCAGATAAAGTATTCTCGTTGTTTTTGGTTGATACATATCATTAGTACCTATATGTAAATTTATTACTCATTTTGTAAAATTAATTCAAACAGAACTAAATATCATGCAATTTATAAGTGTATGTAATGAACTGAAGATTGTTAATGATATAGATAATTATAATAGTAAATGAGTGTCAAAATATGTGTCAGTAGGTTATGAAATGTTTCAGAAGATCAGTAGATCAATATGCAAATCAGGAGATCTACTGAAAATTCAGTACATATAGCAAACCCTGCAGCAAACGAAAAGTGTTTTCGGACGAAAAGTACTAAGTAAAAGTAAAATGTGAATATATGGCTTTGTCATGTACTTCAACTTATACTTATGATGAACCTTTCCATTGATGCAACTCTTTTATAGAATCACTTGATAATGGAAAAAGAGGAGAACCAAATATCTATTGTGATTCAAAAATTGGTATCAATGACACATTGAAATGAACGAACATTTAAACGTGGCTAAAACGAAAACATTCTGCGGATTTCCTGGATAGCATATTATCGGCTATATCGTTTCCAACAATGGAAAACGCGCTTACTATGGTATGTACAGATATGGAAGTTGAGCATAATATAGAAGGGGATGAAAGCGTATTTGTGAACAACTTTACAATGAAGTAGCCATAATAGTTTCAAAACTCAAATGATGCATGCAATGATATTTCAGGTATATTTGTACATAAGGGACTTCAGAAATTCTTAACCTGACGGGAGACAACCAATATCAAGGTCAAACACACTCTAGTTTTGAGATACCACCGACGTATTTGTTTGATTGAATTAATATCATATGAGACAGATATAGAAGATCTGGAATAACACTTTGTTACCGAATGAATCAGTGACAAAACATGGGGATGTCTTGACACCAAGTTCATCATTATATGATATATAATATATTTGATCTTAAAAAAACAAGTAGATCGATATACCTACACACACTCAAATTGGTCAGCATTCCTTTGACCTGAATTATTTGAAACCATTCTTCAGAAACTGGAAAGAAAATGGTTGTCGCAACACCAATAATTCGCAATTTATTTTTGATTTCATTGCATTTCAGAGTGTTGGGCAGTACAGTGCCTCAAACTGCGTCGTTTTCGGAAAAATTGATATGGCTACAATATATCGTTAGTGTGGCACTCCTATAGAATTTATCGTCCAATCAAGAACGTACACGTTCCGAGAACAGGGCCAAAAATTAACACTTACAGATGAGGCGCTAACTGAAATAATAGCATCTGAACCAATAACAGTAGGCATAGTTGCTATAGTCGCTTGGAAGCAATTTGTACGGTCACCAATATGTGGAATCCATTCATGAGAACTGTAGAAAAAGTATTGTGCGCAAATTGAGTGAATTATTGAGAGGTAAAGTAACTGGATGGAATCAATTAGATAAGAGTTCGCACACAGCTAAACTTATGTCCATTTCTATTTTCTATATCACAATGGTTTGAGTGAATAAAAGAGTAAGACATGAATTCTGGTATTTGCCTTTTCAATTTCCCTAGTAGCGCCTGATTGTCAGATAGATAGATAGATAAATAGATAGATATTTATTTCCCAAGATATCCATTTACAATTTTCAATACAATAAGGTGTCTTAATAAAATATTAACAAAATCATCAGATGCCATATAGGCTTGGGAAAATGGTTGCCGTCTATTTCATTATAATTAAATGTATTGATAATTATTAGCTTGAGTAAAAACTCACAAAAAATAATAAGTGAATTTGATACAAGTAATTTCACCTTAGAGAACATTATGAATCAGCGAGCAAGTTTTTATTGAAGAATTCTGTGGTGTCTTAAAAAAAGCGGTGTATAGAATTTTCTTCAGCTCAGATTTAAATTTCCTAACTGTACTACTCTTGATGCATTCTGGGAGATGATTATGAATCTTGATTCCCATATATAGAGGATCGTTTCGTGTTCTATTATATCTATAGTATATATGGCAAAGTGAGTGATTGATTGCGTGTCGCGTAAGAATGTTTGTCCGAAGAGCGGGTCAATTTGGAATTTTTTTATGTATCAACAGAGATACTTTATAAATATAAAGGGAGGTGAGTGTAAATATTTTGTGATTTTTTTAAGTAATCACGACATGAATCTCTAGAGCTCAGACCAAAAAGTGAACGGATGGCTCTCTTTTGAATAATGAAAGTGGTGCTCGACTGAACAGCAGTGCCCCAGAATTCGTTTCCATACTGTAAGATACTATGAAAATGAAAGTGAGCATAGTACACTGATTTAGCTACCTCCAGATACGATTTTAGTGGTCAGATTTTCTGTCAAATCAATCATTGTTGTAGATGAAAGATAGGAAAAGGGTATAAATATCCACTTCAATTTATATAGCGATACACTTTTCGCAGAACAATAGATATAAAAATGAGAAGAATGCATGTAAGAACTGTAATGTATTCATAAGCAGTATACGCCCTGTATGTATACAGGGATATAGGCGGCGAGGTTGGATGACATCAGTCAGTGACATGATTAGGAACTTGTCATAAGTTATGCTGAATGTTAACTAATAAATATATTCCCAAGGCTCCATATTATTGATCACAAATATTACTTGGTGGCATCG